GCACTCCGCACCTCAGAATGGGACTTCAGCACTGCGCCTCCTCTGAGTGTCCGTATGCGTTACTCTTTCCTCCTAGTTGTAGGACTTCCACTCAGCCAGGACTCCTGTGGTTCTGGGTGATGTCCGTTTCGTCTTTTAGTTTCACTTTTGAAGTGGTTGTTCGAGGCAGCAAACTCCAGCGTTAACCTATGCCGCCACCTTGGTTCTCCCAGGCGGACTTTATACTCAGAATTTTGGTCCCACCTCCCCCATCTAGCTCTCTGTTCTTTGGGATTTGTCATTGACCTTCCAGTGGCTGTTGTTGTCTAGACCTTTTAATGGTTCTTCATGTCAGAAAGACTGCAGATTTTCTACCAGAATTTTGAGCATCTTTCATAGTATTAGTTTTAGACTGCCATCAGGTAAAGGTTATAAAAACTGTTAGCTCAACTTGTGATGTTACCATTTTCCAAATGTCTACTGTTCTCCAGAATCTGCCTGCTTTTTGTCATTTTTCAGTGTCTTCAAGTCATGGGTATTTTCTATAGTTGTTATATACAGGAGGGTCAAGTCCATTAGGAGCTATTCAGCCATACTAGAAGCAGTTGTTGATTTTCCATTGTGTTTTGGTTACATGGAGTATCCTATTATAGACCCTGTGTCCATTGGTTATGCTTATATGCATGCAAGCTGCTTACATGAAGCATGTCAAACTCGCGGCCTGCTGGAAGCCAGTCCATCCATGCTGCTTGACACAGTCGCTGCAGGGACACAATTGCTCTGTGAGGGAAGAGTCCCCGAGGCTCGCCTGCCCCAGTGCCTCCGGCCACCACCCTCTCACCTTCATCATCAGCACGATGGTGTTCAAGGCGATATTTTTTTGTTGTTGTTGTTGTTTTTTTTTTTTTCAATACCTGGAGTTTCAGGTGTTTTTTTTTTCAATTATTATTATTATTTTTTTAATTTTATTTTTTCTATTATAGACCTTGATGGAGAAACAAACAAACCAACCCTGTTCACAGGCCGCCTCCCCGAGAAAGGTTGTTTCCCCAGGTGAGAATGTTTCCCTGGAGTTAGGGATTAATGGGGCTAGGGAAGGGAATAAATCAGTAAAACTCCTTAACTAAGTGCCAGGCGGGTAGTTAATCACCTTAACTGAACAATCATGCTTAAGCTACATAATCCTTACTTAGGTCATAGAATAGAAAAATTTCCTTCAGTTATTTCCTTATAGCTTAACAGTAGAACAATAGGATAATGACCTTGGAATAGAGACAACAAACTAGCCCTTATAATGGAACACAGAGACTAACCTAGACAAGATTAAAATCAACAGAGCTAGATAGAGATAAGATTTTTATCAAAGGTCAGATAAGAAACTATAAACATAAAACAAGGAACTGTAGAAGGTCAAAGGAAGACCCAAAACATATGATAATGTAACTATAGAGGCATGCTTATAGAATCAAATGGTATAAATACAGCTGTAACAGGACAATAAAAGAGAACCTGGCTATGCTGATCATCTGAATGCTTTCTCCGTGTCCTTCATTCTTCGCTGACTTCATCCACACCTTTGGGAACCCCTGGACCGCTGGGGCTGGACCCCACCAGCAGCCGGTTTGGCTTACATATTGAAGCTAAAGTATAACCTCTCCATAGTACTCGATTGCCCTAGCAGAGTTCGTTTGTGCCAGGACAAGAGCTATATAGCTTTTGGGGTTACAAATCATTCCTAGAACAATTATAAACGTTCATCTCTCCATGATGCACCCAGCTACATAACAGTTCCTTGGCAGTATGGATAGTGGGGGAAATGTGGGACAAAATCACATATATCTTTGTAAAATTACATCCCAACTATGTGACCTTAGACAAGTCACTTAACCTCTCTGAGCCCCTATTTCCTGATAGCATAGAGAACATACTTTCAGAGTTGAAAGGGGGATTAAATGAGAGAAGACACATAATAGTGCCTATATACTTTGTTTTGTCTGGAAGAGTCCAGGTTTACAACTGTGGTCCTAATGTAATTATTGGTAAAGCCCCCTTCACTGTCAAAAATATTCTAGTACTTATCAAATATTATTACCACTCAAATCAGCAAATTATTCTGATAGTGAGCCTCTAGAAGAATTCTTAAGGTCAAACACCTCACTTTCTTGCCTCAATTATTAACAAAAGCATTGCTGAGTAAACTATGGGGCAAGTACCTAATGATATTGTACTGTTTTAATTTTTTTTTCTGTCTCCCCCCCCCACCCCCGCTTAGAACTATATGGAAGAAGACTGGCCTTTATTTATGAGAATCAGAATCAAATCACCCAATTTGTCATTCCCCTTTCCACCTCTATAAATACCCAGGTGGAAGAAGATCAAAGGGAAAGAAACTCAAAGATAGGTTTAGAAAGAAAAGGGTACTGTGTGTGTCTATGTCTATGTGCACCTGGTCATGTCTTAGCCTGTCACCTGATTGTGCACATGTCTGCACTTGTGCAAGTGTGTGTGTGTGTGTGTGTGTGTGTGTGTGTGTGTGTGTGTGTGTGTGTAAAAGGGATGTCATAGTGTGTGGAGCTAGTTCTCTTCCTTCAGCCCTCCACGTGATACTCTGGGGCTGAGGTTGAGCTGGAGTGGGAGGTGGAGAGGACTTCAAGCTCATGGATGATGACTCTCTAGTTTTTATTTTCTGGCTTTTCTTGGCAGATTTACCTAAGTGAAGTCCCTCTGGAGAGGGTTTTGGCTTCCATATATTTGCCTAAATCACTGAAGGAGAGAATTCCTCTTAGCAACTTACAGACCATCTTATTTAATTTCTTTGGCCAAACTTCACTTTTTAAGGTAAGTTCTTGTCTTTGGTAACTATCATGGACTGACATGTGGCGACTCATAGTAATTATGAACTCTTCCTATTTTCATGATGTTTTGTTTATTTTAGAATTATGCTTTCTGATTTATTCCACAAGCCTCCCAGCACAACCTCTGGCTCACAACATGAATCAACATCTATTTTAATGATATTCCACAATTTTTAATTTTCACAGCTTCTCAGCTTTAGAAGGGACCTTAAGGATGATCTGGTGACCAAACAGAGTCCTCAAGATGTTTCTAAGCCAGAAAAGAACAGCAAGTTCTCCTGATGAAATGCTGTTTCAGCTTGTCAGTATTTTCCTTAGGCCTCCTCCAAGCCAACATGCCCACTCTCACAGGCCAATTTATTTGAAACTGAGTGGTGTCCAACAGAACAGTTTCTTGCAGGAATTTGTTATTCTTTCTCACTGCCTCCACAGCACCTTCTCTGAGGGATCCAGTCCTCACCCATTATTGAAACAGAGAGGCAATATAATGTGGTGGTTAAGAGCATAGACTCTGGGACCAGACTGGCTGAATTTAAAGCTGACTATGCTGTAATCTTCCTTTGTGACCTTGGACCAGTTACCCAACCTCAATGTGCCTTAGATTACTCCTATGTAAAACATGATAAAAGTCAGTACCACACTTGGCTGTTGAAGGATTAAAAGA